GATAGGCAGAGCATGAAGCTGCAGCATGGATCTGCCTTTTTCTGGGTGTTGTGCAGATGCTTCCCTGCACCCATGGAGTGGCCTCTGATGTGAGCTTGTCCTGTTGCAGTTTATTTTTGTACTACTGCAGGGTTTCTCAGGACAGGTGAATTTCAAAAGATATCATGTGTAGTTCAAGAACTACGTTCACTGTAATGTGGGCTCAGGCCTTCAACCCTGAGCACTGTGGTTCTTCCAGCTGATTCTGTCCATTGGAAGGGTCTCCTCCTCCCAGACAGGAGATGCACTAGGGTAAAACTTTAACCTCACAGGTACAGGCATAGCTGAGAGGGGTGACTGCACATCTAGAAACACCACTGACTGCTACAGGCACCCTGTGGGAATGGGGCTGGTGAGAGGTTCTAGCTGCAAAGAGGTGAGAGGGGCAGGGACTCACCGCTCTCCTTACCTAATTAGGAACAGAGGAGAAGCTGTTAGCCAACAACACAGAGGATGCCAAGAGGTTGATGGCTGCCGCAAGCTCTGTCTTCATGAAGGTTGCTGGTGACATCCTGGATGGGTCCATATTGGTCAGACGGTTGGAGCTGATCCTGAAGCACAAAAGTCAGTTTCTGGACCTGTGGCAGTTAGGTGAGCTGTGGCCAGGCTGGTAAGAAGACTGTGTTCACTTGTGTGCTGGCTGTCCTCCTCTATGCCACCAAGTGGAGGCCTTCTTGTCCTTCGGGTGGTGACTATGGGGCACTCCCAGAGAGAGAAAGGGATGCTGTGAAGTGTGTTTCCTTTGGCTGACTTTGTCATTGTTTTCTAGAGACAGAAAGTTCTTCTGTCATGGAAGAGACACTGAACTGGAGGATGGATGAAGTCGTGTTTCTGAAGAGAGAGAAGAGACAGGTGGACAGCCTCCTGAGGCTGTGTGGGAAGGTGAAGCACCTCATCCAAGGTACTGCTCCCGCAGTTGCGCTGGGAACCCTTGAGAGCTGTCACAGGGACGAAGCAGGCCACAAATAGTGGGGCCTTTTTTTTCAGGGAGAAGCTTTTAAAAAACATTCTTGACCCAGTATTCAATGTGTTTGCCCAGGGAAGCAGCTTCCCCTTGTACATTCTTGTTTGTGTGCCTCTACACCCGTCGATGTCCCTGATTTCCCAGTGTCAGTGTCCTATGCTGGCTTCCCAAGGAGGGGAGGTGTCGATCTTTCTCCAGTCTGTGCCCTGCACATGAGGCTGCTTGCTGCTCTGTCACTCCCAGGATGTCCTGAGTTACTGGTACCTTCTTCAGGGTAGAGCCTTCGCCATGGTGTGAACACAGGATTCACAAGCGAGCCGTGTGGGGGACCACAGCCACTCCATGGTTCTGGCACAAAGTTTCTGTAGCTGGTGGAATTGCATTTCTTGCCTTGGTACTTCCTTTTCCCCTTTTTCATTGTGTTTATTTCAAATTCAACCCCAAACTGTACCAGCTATCTGAGTGGATGTCTCTGAAGAGTCTCCCAGGACAGAGGGCTTATTTTCCCTAGCGGGGAGGTGGCCCTCAATCTCCCCTCATCTCCCAGGTTTCCTTGGCTCTGGCCTGTGCTTGACTCCTGTTTGACAGAGAGTGGCATCTACTGCTTGCTGGGACAGGGACACAGGAGGCCAGATACAGAACTGTGCCCCTGCTGTAGGTTGATCATTGGGCCAGGG